GGTGCGGGTGGCCGTGGGGCGGGATCGGCTCCTTGTCGCATGCCAGTCCCTGGAGGAATCACGGCCTCCCCGCCTGCGGCTCTCACTTCTCCCTGAGGAGGCCCGGAGGTCCCACTGGCGCCTTGGAGCTGGGCCCTCGTCGCGAGCAGCGTCCCGAGGTTGGCTCTGCCGCCGCCTCCTGCTTCTGGAGGAGTCGTAGCCCTGGGTGTGCAGAGGCCGTTGGTGGCCATGGTGGTGCCACCCTGGGGACCGGCTTCGGCCCCTCTCCGGGGCCCTGGCGTGGCCACCACCACGGTCTCTTTGGGAAGAGCTGCGGCGCTGGTGCTGGGAATGTTGCCCTCTGCGGCCTGGCGTTGAGATCTCCCTCTCTGGTGGTGGGGGCTGACGTCGTGCGTCTCCTGCCTGTGCGTTCCCAGCTGGGGGAAGATGTGTTGAAGAGTCCGCCCGCAGCTTGGGCACACGGCTCGTCTGCGGGACCACTCCTGTACACAGCGAACACAGAAACGGTGCCTGCACCCGCTCACGCAGGCTTCGTTGTTGATGGCCTCCAGGCAGATGGAGCACACTGGGTCCCCGGAGTCATCCGGCGGCGCGGCCTGGGGCACCTGGCTGGTGCTGGCCGCAGGGGAAGAGGCGCCCTGTTGTGCCATGTCCTCCTCCGACGCCATCTCGCGCGGCAAGCGAAAGAGATGCAAAGCTCACGACCTGCCCTGGAGACGCAACCTGCAGGAAGCCGCAAAGCTGAGGAAGCCAAGCCCCAAAGAGGTGCCTGCTCTGCCTCGGGGCTGTGCTTGTGCTGCCACGACGGCCAGCGACCGTCCTGGGGCAGACGGGTGACAGCAGGGGCGCCTCTCTGTGCTCCCGCTCTCCGGGCAGGGCGGCGACTGCCCTCTGCGACACGTGCAGGCAGGAATCGGGAAGGCAGGAGAGTGGTTCCTGGCCTCCCGGCAAGAGCAGCCCAAGGGTCGGGGTGCAGCAGGTCGGGACCGGTGGCCCGGGCCCTGTCACTATCTCCGTCCGGCAAATCCTCTCTGTGCCCTCGTCAGGGAGCCCGCGGGATGGGGGTCCTTCGTCCCCCCACCAGCAGACGTCTGTCCCCCACGCACGAGGACAGCACTGAGGCCCTGCAGGGCTGCCCCACGCCTCATAAGGAGGGATGTCACGGGGGTCACAGTGACTCTCTGGTGACATCACAGAGCTTTTGGGGACCACACCCAGAAGACGCAGGCCCCGGTGCTGGGGCAAGAAACAGCCCCCTTTGGCAAGCGCTGGGCTCCCCACTGCAAGAGAGACGTGGACATACTGGAGAGAATCAAAGACAGGATCACGCGGATGCTGAAGGGTCTGTAGCATCTCTTGTAGGAGGAAAGGCTGAGGGAGCTGATGATCGAGGGAGCTGATGTGCCTCCACATGTCACAGGCACCCACCTTCAGGTAATTTTCCTCCTGTCTCTGAATCGCCAGGCAGATCCTGACCTTGGACTCCTTGCAAAGTCTTATTCATGGACCTGTCTGAGCCGTCTCAAGGTTGCTCACCGCTTTCTAACAAGGGCCAGTTTCTCTGCAGGGATGAATGAAGGCTTTGGAGCTGGGTCTCTTTGGTGCTCGAAGCAGGGGCAGGCAGAGCAGGCTGCCCAGGGCCACATGCCATCAGGCTTTGATGAGCTTGAAGGACAGAGCCTCCAGAACCCCTCTGGGCAGCCTGTTCCAGGGTGTGACCTCCCTCTAAATAAATAAGCTCTGTATTGCAGTCAGCGAGAGATTGCCTTATTTCATAGACTAGAATCCCAGAACCGTTTGGGTTGGAGAAGCCCTTTAAGCTCCCCCAGCCCAACCGTTCCCCTACCCCTGCCATCCCACCCCCAAACCCTGGCCCTC